TCCCGTGACCCTTAGGAGAACTATGGGAAAAAGCCCTGACCCCATAGTTCTCCTTTAAATGCTCGCTTCTGCCTAGGGTACGAGAAAGAACTTACTCGGTCCCCCGAAGCATCTTCTTTTCATGCTCTGGTCAGTGGTCGCTGTGATTCCATATGTACGATGCACATATCCCTTTAAATTCATTTTTGTACACAGTGTACAAAATACATTGTAACCATTTTGATATGCTGTTGGTAATGGGAATCTATGATAATAAAATTGGAACAAAATTCATTATTGAAGACTGGGTCTGGGAATGGGTCTCATTAAATCAATGTAAAAAAAATGCAAAAATAAATGTTGCAATGCAGGAAGCATTTTTATGCTGGTCTGTCCCACTGCCTCTGGCTTGAATCTTAGCTTACTTGAAGAGCAAAGCCAGGGAGAGAATCTTCAGCATCCGACGCACTTTGAGGTGCCCTGGTCCCCTGACGCACCCACTGGCTGCCACGTTTCTAGGGTTTCCCAGGGACACAGTAGTGACGTAGTGGCTGAGGAATGAGACCACAGCTTGTGGCGGTTGGGAAGAGGGGGTGGCGCAGGCCTATGACACACCTGGGAGTGCTGGATGTCTGCTGGTAGCCATATCTCTGAAGAAGAAGGAACATCAGGGCAATGGACAAGTGACAGGGTCTCTTTACAGCAAGAACTAAGTATTTCCTTATACCCAATTAGACCCCCAACTCCAGATAACACTTTGGATTTTTAGTTTAGGATAGACTTGGGAAGAACTTCTGGAACTGTTTTCTTGCTGTCCAAGAGGAAGATTGTACCTTTCCCCTATTATTATTATTAAAGGAGAACTATGAGGTGAGTGCTTTTCACTCACCTCATAGTTCTAGCCGACTTGTGACAATGAGACTGTCACAGGTCGGCTCAGTAGATCGGGAGGTGAGCGAACACATACCGGCGTTCGCTCACCTCTCGATCCTGTCACGGCTCTCTGCCGTGACAGGGGAGGGGCTGGATTCCCCCCTCCGATCCGCCAGCGCTGACTGGCGGAACGGACGGGGGAGGGGGCGGGTACAGCTGGCTCTGCCTCTAGCTAGGCAGAGCCAGCTGTCACTCACGCAGCTGGGCGGATCCATACATAATTGTCGGTATCCGCTTCAGCTGCAGCGTCTCAGTATACCGCGATCTGTAGCTCCCTATATACTGAGCTTGGGGTGACGGGAGGACGCTAGTTTGTGTCCTCCCGTTACCCTAAGGAGAACTATGGGGAAAAGACCTGACCCCATAGTTCTCCTTTAATGTCTCCCTGGCCTACTGACAACCCTCATTTCTTGTTCTGTGACAACATTATAATACCGCGATCTGTAGCTCCCTATATACTGAGCTTGGGGTGACGGGAGGACGCTAGTTTGTGTCCTCCCGTTACCCTAAGGAGAACTATGGGGAAAAGCCCTGACCCCATAGTTCTCCTTTAATGTCTCCCTGGCCTACTGACAACCCTCATTTCTTGTTCTGTGACAACATTATAATGGGAAAAGGGTTTTGTTGCAATGTGTGGAGAGATTTCCTATTACTTCCTGTCCCAGAAGAGACAGGTGATTGTCCTGGATGCAGACACACTGTGGCTAGGTATGATCATCTGTCCCTAATAGCAGGTAAATGATGGATGTTCGTTTACATCTGAACAGCTGCGGCCGCTGTCGCCTGTAATTGCTTCATATACGCAGCTGTTCACACTAGGGACGCACCTATATCGTTTTTCGGTATCGAGTACCGATACTTTTTTTTGGCCACTCGCTGATACCGGTTACCAATACCGGTGCTGTGTGCCCAAATTATCAGAAAGCTGGGCGGTCGGTCGGTCGGTCATGTTTCAGATTGCCTAGGAATCCGGTGTTTTATTGAAAGAACACTGGCTTCACTTCACAAGGCTGCCTGGTTTCCTGACCTATAAGGAAGCCGGGTGGCGGGTCATGAGGTGCCACCCGGCTTCCTGATGGGTCAGGAAGCCAGGCTGCCTAGCAACAAGTAAAGCTGGCTTCCTGGCCAATCAGGAAGCTGGGCCGGCACGTCATGACCCGCCTCCCGGCTTCCTGATCGGCTAGGAAGCTGGCTTCACTTGTTGCTAGGCAGCCTAGCTTCCTGACCAGCTGGGTCATGATGTGCCGCCTGGTTTTCTGATTGGTTAGGAAGCTAGGCTACCTAGCAACAAGTGCAGCTGGCTTCCTAGCAAATCAGGAAACAGGGGGCTCATAACCCACTGCCCGGCTTCCTGATTGGAAAGGAAGCCGGCTCCATGTTCCCTCGGCACTGCTGGTCACAGGGAGATCTCCCTCTGACCGGAAGATCCGGTATCGGGGAAGGTGTCGGAGCATTCGTACTGGTCCAAATACTCGGTATCGGCGCCGATATTAGTATTTGTATCGGTGCATCTCTAATTCGCACACACTTGTGATTCCAGCCACATGAATTTGCTGATTCTTAGTAATGGAATTTTCAGTGTAGCCCCAACCCTGAGTGTGAATGGGGCCTTATTGTATACTGTATATTCAGATGTGCAAGCTCCGCTCATCTTACCCTTACTATCCTTTCGCAAGAGCGGTCTGATCGTGTCCACCCTCTCTTTCAAGCGGACCCGATCGGATTCCCAATGCCAGTCTATGGGCCGCCGAGTGTAAACGGATGGGCGTTACCCTGACTCTTGCCCGGTCTGGAAAATCAAATGGATCAGAGATCTGTTTTACCAGACCTGATCATGCTGGATTGGGGGTAATCTGATCCAGTCAGACACATGTCCATTTACATACAATTTCCCATAGACCGACATGGGGTCCGGTCATTTTCATTTTTTCAAACTGGACGGACACGGATGTCAGACCGGTCCGTGCAGAGATCCCCTCCTGATCAGCCCATGTGAAAGGGACCCTTAGAAGGTGTGTATTTATGGGGAAGGGGTGAGGGGGAGAACTTGGTTGGTGGCCACACTTTAGCATCCTTGCCTTGTGTGCCAGAGGACCATGTCCAGGCACTGTACTTAGTTACCATATGATGTGGCCAAGTTCAGGAGCAAAAATTCAAAGGCAGGAGGACACCATTAAAAATAGTTTTTTTTGCAGTTTCAATGCACTGATGGCCATATGAATAGGCAGAGAACAAAGTCTTGGCTCTCCTGATACTCTTATCATTCATGTGCACACACCAGGCAGGAAGCTGTAGGTAACGCACAGCTGCAGTACACAAAAGCGACCACCGGGTGGCGCTGTGTGCGAGTCTAGCAGACCTTCGGCTGATCACGCTCGGGGGAAAAAAACGAGCGAAAGAAGAAAAAACAAACAGCCAAGATCAGCGAGGAGGACTGTGACGTAGGTGACCGGGACTAAGCCGAGAGAGACTGGGCAGTAGTGGCTGGGGACACTGGCACACAACGTGGCGGCACTGGGTGCTGTGCCAAGGCAGAGGGGCATGTGATGGCAGTGAAGGAATCTGCAAAAGGCTGATCAGCAGGTGGCACAAGGAGCTGGCAATCTATAACATGGGCTGCACCGGACACAAGATCCAGAGAATCTCCGGGGGGAGTTAAGAGTCTCTCCTGGGGTAGTTACGGGGGTATCCCCGACCGTGGGGAAGCTATAAGGGCAGATAGAGGGGTACCCCTACTCCAGGTACAGTTATAAGGGCAGCACAGGGGAACCTCCACTCAGGGGCAGTTACAGGGGGACCCGTTCTCCAAGAGGAGTTATAAGGGAAGTTAAAGAGGTGCTTCTTCTCCAGGGGGCAATAAGAAGGATAGCTGTCCTCCAAGGGAGGTTATTAGGGCAGTTACAGGGGTACCTATACTCCAGGGGCAGTTACAGGGGTACCTATACTCCAGAGGCAGTTACAGGGGTACCTATACTCCAGAGGCCGTTATAAGGGCAGTTGCATGTGTACTCCTTCCCCAGTGGCAGTTACAGGGGTGCCATGTCCCCAGGGGAAGTTATAAGGGCAGGTACAGAGATACCCCTTCTTCAGGGGAGAATTACAAGGGCAGCTACAGGGGTACTGCTTCTTCAGGGGCAATAATAAGGGCAATTAGGGGGTACCCTTTCCCCAGAGGCAGTTACAGGGCTACCCCTTCTGAAGGGCAAGTTATAAGGGCAGTTACAGGAGTACCTCTTCTCCAAGGGCAGTTACAGGTTTCCCTTTCCCCAGGGGGAGTTAGTGCCCTTTCTCCAGGGGTACCTCTTCTCCAAGGGCAGTTAAGGGGTTACCCTTTCTCCAGGTGCAGTTAGGGGGTACCCTTTCCCCAGGGGCAGTTCCAGAGGTACCCTTTCCCCAGGGGCAGTGACAGGGGTACCTCTTCTCTAAGGGCAGTTAAGGGGGTACCCTTTCCCCAGGGGCAGTTCCAGGGGTACCCTTTCTGCAGGGGCAGTTCCAGGGGTACCCTTTCCCCAGGGGCAGTGACAGGGGTACCTCTTCTCTAAGGGCAGTTAAGGGGTACCCTCTCCCCAGGGGCAGTTCCAGGGCTACTTTTCCTCTTCTTTCCTGGTAGGGCTGAGATCAGAGTGAGTGTGACGTGTTGCAGGCCCCCGGGGATGGTGGGCACCCCTGTGGCAGGCAGGGTGTGGGTGTAGCCGGAGTTGGGAAGGAAGTCGGGCAGAGTTTTAGGTAGAACCTCTCAGGGAGGAGACTGGTCCTGCTATATAGAAGAAGTTGTCCAGGAGTCGGAGGGAGTTTCTAGAAGTGGGGGGAGCCCCCGTGCTGGGTGTTGATCTCACGCTGAGTCCCGGGCAGGGTTCACCCTTCAAGGATCAGATCGTCTAAGAACTTTTTTTTTGTACCGGAGGAGGAGGAGGAGGAGGGGAGGTGCTGGCCCGGTGTGGAGGTGCCCGTCCCCTCCCCCTAGTTGTCATTCAATGGGATCACCTCTCGTACATAGCTGTGTACACATCGGTGTCTGGATGAGGAGGATTCGTGTGTCTGGGGGGAGCAGCATGGCATGACAGCAACGGAGACATCTGACCCAGACCCTCCACGTGGACTACTACTCCCCCTTTCCCCCCTGATTGCCCCCTGGCCATGGAGCTGAAAGTCCTGTGTGGAGCTCTCTTCTGGCTGCTGCTGCCTCTGTCCCTCTTAGCAGGTAAGCCTGTCAATCATTTTTCCTCTCTGACAGATACACTGTCACGTGGCCAGGTGGGGATGTGAGAAACAGCTGATGGAAGTAGGAGAGGCTTGCAAAGGGACTTGTCAATGCAAAAATCAGAAAGCTGCCATGGCCAACTTGTTTTTCCAGGGGCCATGTGCTAAGGGTTGCCCTCTTGATCCTTCGCTTGCTGAATCATATTGTCAGGCCACTAGGTGTGGGCATGTTTATGGTCAGGGACTTAGGTGGGTAACACACCCTGGAACCTACACAGGTCAGCAATCGCAGCTAGTGTATAGTGCGACGGTGTGATTTGGGGGTACTAAGGGGGTCTATTTATAACCCTGACCCACAATTATACCCAATTAGAAAAATATGGGAATGTTGGGTGAAAGTTGTGCCAATCTTGTACCTTTTTATACATGTGTATAGTATGATATGGCAGATTGATCTGACCAGCTGTGTCCACCTGAGATGATGTGATGAGTAGTTTTAGGCAGGATCTCCTATTTGTTTGGTGGATGTCTGATTGTGTGTGTGGCCGGCTATAGCAGAGATGGTGCAGCTGCCAGGGAGCCATTGTGCATAGGAACCAAACTGGCTATGTAATAAGAAGTTGGCTTGCTGGTTCTGGCAGGTTTGGGTAACCGCTCCACTTCTGCTCTGGTTACTTGAGTCCAGATTTGTGTTCAATCATTATGTGTTTTCTATTCTCCTCATCTGTAACGTTATATCCCCCCCTGTATAGTTTTTACGTGGCTGCCATTTTCTTGCTAACCTGTGACATGACACATCGCACGGAAAAAGTGATTTCAGTTTAATTAATTTCATGAGCGGTTTCTATGTCAGAATTTACGTAACTCGTGCGTCCTAGTCATTTCATACTTCTTAGATTACATTTGTCACTCTGTATATACAACGTTACCAAGCATGCCTTCCTTTCCAGGGAGCGTTGGGGGTTGTAGTTCCATTGTTTTCATTTTATAACTCTGACCTCTCCTTCACTCCCCCTCCTCTGGGTTATACCTGGGCCGGTGTCTACAGCTGGAAATGGCCTGCTATCGATGGGAAACGTTTCAGGGCCCATTCACCCCTCGCCTGCGTAAGCCCCTATTCACAGCTAGACGTTTTGATGCACATGCGTTCTGTGCGCGTTTTTACTCACGTTCGTCTATTGACCACAATGGCTTTCAATCTGACAGCTAAGACGCGCATCTTCATGTGTGTAAAAAAAAAAAATGTGCAAAACACTCTAGCCAAAACAGCGTGCAAAAATGCTGACGCCTAGGTGCTAGACATTTTAGAAGCGCACAGACACGCGTGACAAAGCGCTCGGCACACGAATGCTTGTTCATTTCTCTTTGTTCACACCTGAGCGTTTTGTCGTAAGCTGCAAAAATGCCTGTCGCTGGATAAAGTTCCTGGGCTTCTTTGGGGCAGTTTGCAGCACATTTAGCCCCGTAGACTTCAGGCTAGGCGCACACCTAGGCGACACCTCCAACGCGCGACAATCGTGCACGATTCCGCGCGGTCAGGAGTCACCAAAGCGTGAAGATCTTTTAGATCAACTCCATCGCCAAACATCAACATTTCAATGGAGGGGTGCTATTCTGGGCCACGCACTGGCTGAATTTTGGTCAATTTTTATAATGGCATTTGATAGGAATAAGTGGGGGGCTGACTTTGGAAATGGGAGCAAATCTGAAGCCGTTCCTAATAGCAACCAAAATAAATACTTTGCAGCTCCACTTTGCATCAATCAACCTCTATGGGCCAAAACCCGCAGCAGGAGGCGGGCGGAGGGATTGAATGGATTGGTGTGGCATTGTGAAGGTGTTAAGCCCTCAGTCCAGTATATAGACTTGTGTATGTTGGGTGATCCGTCCCTCCCTCATGGCTGTGGAATGTATGTCCCGGGCTGTGCAGGCAAAGGCTTGAATTGAACGTCTAATCCATAAAATAACAATAATTGCCTTCGGGGTGATTGAACCGCTGGTGAAACACGTTCCATTATTACAAAGATTGACATCATTCCCTCACACCTCGCCTTTAACCCTTTCCAGGAATACCCCAGACACGTTCTTTATGGGACATTCTATTGGAAGGATAGAATAATGGTTCTCTCAGCTCAGGGAACGTGTTGTGTCGGGTTCCGGCTGTCATTTTATTGTAGTGGGGATAAAAGAGATAAATCAATTGCTTGTAATGATCAACATTGACCGTTTTCTGTGCCGTATGAATGTGTTGATTATGTTCCAGCACTTGGAAAGTAAAATTAACCCTTGCAGAGGGGCTACCCCAGGGGTTAAACTCTGTTTTGGTCTAGGGGGTAAAATATACTTACCTGAACCTCTTTCCTGCCTGGCTGCTAGACTGGTGCCAAGGGACATACCACAGCCGGAGCGGAGAGAAGTGAGCAGTCACCGCCACAAAACCAAGGATCAGGTGAGCATATCTTCTTTATTTGCACCCCTAAACCAAAACAAGCAGTTAACCCTTGCAGTGTAGTGGAAGCCCCACTGCAGGGAATAATTTTTCTAAAACCCGGAGTTCTTTTTAAAAGAGAACTATGTGGTAACCTTTTCATGCCATAGTTCTCTTTGGGGTCGCAGTGGCACATATACTAACCTCCTCCTGTAACCCAAAGCTCCATATACTGAGGGCGCCGCAGCCAGGACGGATCCCGACGATACTGTCAAGATCCACCCAGCTGCGTGAGTGACAGCGGGCTCTGCCTATCTAGAGGCAGAGCCAGCTGTGCCCGTCCCCTACCCCAGCGCTCAAGGATCGGGGAGGGGGGAATCCCTGCGGGGAGAGGTGACTGACAGTCACTGCAGGGAGATGTTTGGGAAGTGAGCAAGCAACGGTATGTGTTCCCTCACTTCCCGATCGATAGTGGCCCTGTGACAGTTTCATTGTCACAGGTCGGCTCTAACTAGGAGGATGAATGGAAATCACTCACCTCATAGGTCTCCTTTTAAATATCTCAAAACCTTGTACTCAGACCCAGCGTAAAGTTGATCACAATGGGGTTCATGCACAAACACCCATATAGGATCCTTCTGTGAAATAATAATGTTGCCGTTCCTTTCACCTTTTGTCAAATGAGATTTGAAGATTGAAGTCACATGACTTAAAATGAAGCTCCTTGTGTAAAGCTTTGAATGGAGCCTGAGGCGGGATCTAGTGAGAATGTTCAATATTTGCCAAGCTTCCTCTTGTTGAAATGATTTTACCATGACCATGTCACAATGCAGCAATAAGTAGAAGAGTGACACAACACCCTGCGATGGAGATTGTGAGTCGGTCAAACAATGTTTAGTTTCAGCTGCAGAACAGTGGTGGTGGTGGTGGTGGTGGCGGTTATTCATCACATCATATTTGCTATGTTTGATTCCTATGCCTACTACGTTTCCCCGAAAATAAGACGCTGTCTTATATTTTTTTTGGCTCAAAAAAACACACTAGGTCTTATTTTCGGGGTAGGTCTTATTTTTTTTAATGTACAACAATCCAAAGTTAACGCAAATCCAAATTAAATAATCCAAAATGGCAAAGTTAAGAATAGGGTGATCAGGGCAATCGGGTGCCGTACCTTTCCAAGAGCAATTTGGTAACCAATCACTGGCCAGAATGAGCGAAACGCACTTTCACTATCGTTTCCTCACAGGTGGAGTGCATTTGGTATCACTCTGCCAGTGACAGGAGCCGACGCTATAGAAGAAGCATCGCCTTATGCGGCACTGCTCCCTTCGCTGCCGCTTTGCTTCCTCTAGCGCTGGCTTCATTAGGACCTCCGATTCTCTCCCGTCAAGTTCCCCCTTATGCCACCACCGGCCCTGGGAATGGTCACAACTAGGTCTTATTTTCGGGGTAGGTCTTATTTTTTAGCAATTCCCAAACATAGTACTAAGTCTTATTTTTGGGGTAGGTCTTATTTTAGGGGAAACAGGGTACCTGTGCCTCGTAGCTCTAGATGTGAAAGAAAAGTATATTCTCTGCCTAACTTTACTTTTCTGACCATGGGGCGTGGTGGTGCATTTAAGTCAATGGCGCCACAGCCATGCTCCACTGCCCACAGTGTGACCACCCGCACCAGAACGTGTGGCACATCAATGCCTACATTCCGGTCCTGTGCGATCAGCAAAAATGCTGCAAGGACTATTCTTTTCCGATCCCACTGAACCAGGACACAGGCATAGCTGTGCCACACATTCTGGTGCGGGAGATCGCACTGCAGGCAGGGAGCGTGGTGACTTTAATGCATCAAAAAAACACACTAGGTCTTATTTTCGGGGTAGGTCTTATTTTTTTTAATGTACAACAATCCAAAGTTAACGCAAATCCAAATTAAATAATCCAAAATGGCAAAGTTAAGAATAGGGTGATCAGGGCAATCGGGTGCCGTACCTTTCCAAGAGCAATTTGGTAACCAATCACTGGCCAGAATGAGCGAAACGCACTTTCACTATCGTTTCCTCACAGGTGGAGTGCATTTGGTATCACTCTGCCAGTGACAGGAGCCGACGCTATAGAAGAAGCATCGCCTTATGCGGCACTGCTCCCTTCGCTGCCGCTTTGCTTCCTCTAGCGCTGGCTTCATTAGGACCTCCGATTCTCTCCCGTCAAGTTCCCCCTTATGCCACCACCGGCCCTGGGAATGGTCACAACTAGGTCTTATTTTCGGGGTAGGTCTTATTTTTTAGCAATTCCCAAACATAGTACTAAGTCTTATTTTTGGGGTAGGTCTTATTTTAGGGGAAACAGGGTACCTGTGCCTCGTAGCTCTAGATGTGAAAGAAAAGTATATTCTCTGCCTAACTTTACTTTTCTGACCATGGGGCGTGGTGGTGCATTTAAGTCAATGGCGCCACAGCCATGCTCCACTGCCCACAGTGTGACCACCCGCACCAGAACGTGTGGCACATCAATGCCTACATTCCGGTCCTGTGCGATCAGCAAAAATGCTGCAAGGACTATTCTTTTCCGATCCCACT